TCAATTTCCGTTCAGGCGTTCGCCGGATATTGGAAAACGAGAAAACATCATTAAGGATGTGTTCATCTCAAGTATGGCTGACTTACAAAAGAAGGGGCGAATAAAGAAATTAAAAAAAGTCCAAACGAAAGAAAGAGGTGAAAAAAAACCCACGGAAGATGAAGGAAAATGAAGAAAGAAAGAAAGATGAGGTAGACTAAAAAGAGAGAAAGAGAAATTGGAGAAGAGGTAAGTATTGAATAAACAAGGGAGAGACGAAGAGGAATAACGGACAACTGAAGAAAAAGACGGAAAGAAAGAATTGATAGAAAGAGAGAGAGAGAGAGAGAGAGAGACATAATCTGATGCAAATGCAATGTTAAAAGAGAGGGAAAGAACGAAAAAAAGAAGAACAGACTGGGGAGAGAAAAAGAGATTAAAAATTGAAGACGAGGGAAAGAAAAGAATGGGGAAAGAGATAGATATGGTGAGCAAAGGAGAGAAAGAAAGAAAAAACGAAAGGTGACATAAAATTAGAAAGATCAAGATCAAGTATTGAAAAAATCGGAAGGAAAGAAAGAAGGGAAAGAGAGACAAAGGGAGAATAAAAAAAACTAACAAAGAAAGAAAGAAAGAAAAGAAAAAAAGAAAGAAAGAAAGAAAGAAAGAAAGAAAGAAAGAAAGAAAGAAAGAAAGAAAGAAAGAAGAGAATCAGGTGAAAGACCCATATTGAAAGAGATGGAAAGAACGAAAAAAAAAAGGAAAGATACACTAAGGAGAGAAAAAGATTGGGGTCAATAGCAGAAGGAAGAAAGAGATGGATAAAAGTGAAAATGAAAAAAGAAAGAAAGAAAAAAAAGAAAGAAAGAAAGAAAGAAAAGAAAGAAAGAAAGAAGAGAATCAGGTGAAAGGCCCATATTGAAAGAGATGGAAAGAAAGAAAAAAAAAGGAAAGATACACTAAGGAGAGAAAAAGAGATTGGGGTCAATAGCAGAACGAAGAAAGAGATGGATAAAGAGTGAAAAAGAAAGAAAGAAAGAAAGAAAGAAAGAAAGAAAGAAAGAAAGAAAGAAAAAAAGAAGAGAATCAGGTGAAAGGCCCATATTGAAAGAGATGGAAAGAACGAAAAAAAAAAAAAAAAAAAGGAGAAAAAAAAGATACACTAAGAAGAGAAAAAAGAGATTGGGGTCAATAGCAGAAATGAAAGAGATGGATAAAGAAAAGAAAGAAAAGAAAAAGAAAGAAAGAAAGAAAGAAAGAAAGAAGAGAATCAGGTGAAAGGCCCATATTGAAAGAGATGGAAAGAACGAAAAAAAAGGAAAGATAGACTAAGGAGAGAAAAAAAGATTGGGGTCAATAGCAGAACGAAGAAAGAGATGGATAAAGAGTGAGAAAGAAAGAAAGAAAGAAAGAAAGAAAGAAAGAAAGAAAGAAAGAAAGAAGAGAATCAGGTGAAAGGCCCATATTGAAAGAGATGGAAAGAACGAAAAAAAAGGAAAGATAGACTAAGGAGAGAAAAAGAGATTGGGGTCAATAGCAGAACGAAGAAAGAGATGGATAAAGAGTGAAAAAGAAAGAAAGAAAGAAAGAAAGAAAGAAAGAAAGAAGAGAATCAGGTGAAAGGCCCATATTGAAAGAGATGGAAAGAACGAAAAAAAAGGAAAGATAGACTAAGGAGAGAAAAAGAGATTGGGGTCAATAGCAGAACGAAGAAAGAGATGGATAAAGAGTGAAAGAAAGAAAGAAAGAAAGAAAGAAAGAAAAAGAAAGAAAGAAAGAAAGAAAAAGAAAGAAATATTGAAAGAATGGAAAGAACGAAAAAAAAAAGGAAAGATACACTAATATTGAAAGAGATGGGTCAATAAACGAAAAAAAAAATGGGAAAGATACAAGAAGGAAAGAAAAAAAAGAGAAAGAAAGAAAGGGTCAAGAAAGAAAGAAGAACGAAGAAAGAAAGATGGATAAAGATTGAAAAAAAAAAAAAAAGAAAGAAAAAGAAAAGCAAAAAAGAAAGAATGGAAAGAAAAAAGAAAGAAAGAAAGAAAAGAAAGAAAAGAAGAGAATCAGGTGAAAGACCCATATTGAAAGAGATGGAAAGAACGAAAAAAAGGAAAGATACACTAAGGAGAGAAAAAGAGATTGGGGTCAATAGAAGAACGAAGAAAGAGATGGATAAAGAGTGAAAAAGAAAGAAAGAAAGAAAGAAAGAAAGAAAGAAAGAAAGAAAGAAAGAAGAGATAACGTTAGAGAGATGGAGAGCAAGTGTGGAGAAAAGGGTAAGGAGAAATGAAGGAAGGGATAAAGAGAGGAAGGGAGATGAAGAACAATTTTTCGGAGAAGAGGTAAAGGAAAAGGAATGAATGGGTAAGGACACAAAAGGAGATTAAGTGTAATGGTTGAAGAAGAGGGAAAAGAAAGGAGGAATGGAGAAATAGATGAAGAGAGAAGAGGGAAAAAAACGCAACTGTTGACCAAGAAGAAAAAAAAGGAAGAAATAAAAGAGAGGAAGTGAGATGAAGATCAGTTGTTGGCAGAAAGGGAAAAAGGAAGGGTCGGAGAAAAACAGGAAAAACGAGGCGTAAATGATAAGTATGAGAGAGAAAAAAAAACATTTATAGTTGGAGAACGAAAGGTAGATGAAGTGCGATTGTGGACGTTAAAATTACAAAAAAAAATGCGCAAAGAAAAAAGAATAGAAAATAACGAAACGTGGATAGAGAAAGTGTTTCCGAGGAAAATCACGAAGAAGAAATGTCTGTTTAATAAATGCAATTTGCAAAGCAGAAATCCTTTTTTTTTTTAGAAAAAAACCAGCATCCTTATCAGTTTTATAAACTAATCTAACCTTCATATTTCTTCTGAAGACTCCAATCTAATAGATTGCTTTATTTGCATATTTAGCTGTAGGACATTGAGCATATTAGCGGTAGAACCACCGATGGTAATAATAATAATAATAATAATAATAATAATAATAATAATAATAATGGTAATATTAACCGTTTCCTTATAAGGAAACATTTGGCAATCATTAACTAAAGCGCCACTAAAACTTTTGCATGAAAATTATAAAATCTTCCACTTACAAGAATTTTTCAGGGAAAAAATATCTTCAAGTCAGGTAGCTGTTATCGCTCTTTCCATTAGTGAAGGTGGATTTCCTTCCTAACATTTTCTTTGATATACTGGGGAACACCAACGCCTTATTTAGGTCATTATTTTCTCTTCAGGTTATATATGATATCCATTTTAGCTGTTGTTGCTTTTGATAGCCCTCAAGTGGTATCTGTTATTTGGTACGGGTCTTTGCGCCTGTCTACAATGTTCGAAGAAGATTGTTCTTTGCTAAGTTTATATACTTAGGGATTTTTTGGCGTAAAAATGCAATACTTAAAAAAAAAATGCCTATATGATGTAAAGGCCATATATTTAAAAAAAAAGGAAAAAAATGGTAAAACTAACATAAAACCAAGCAAAAACACTTCGAAGAGTTTTTTGTCTGATTCTATGTTAGCTTTCAAACATCTTTCATTAAATATGGCAGAAAAGATTTAATTAATTTTTTATTTAGTTTTTTTTTCCAGCATCCTTACGTTTTTTTTTCTATTTTGTAGGTGTAAGGAAGTACAGAAATTCTCCATAATCTCATTGATCCGAGCGGTTTCGGCTACGTCATCAGCCATTTTCAAGCGGGAAGGAACATCTCAACAGTAAGAAATTATAATCGCCGACTGAACAACTCCGACTGAGCTCCGGAAAAACACTAATATACTCAATCAAAGTGCTATAAAAAAAAAAACATCCATTCACCCACAATTTACAAGAACCTTAAAAAAAAAAAAAAAAATACCCTGGTCAAAAATACAACATTCTATATAAATCACATTACCGGAAGTATCTCGCTATGAGAGAGGCTCTTTATATTAAAGATCTCTCTCCTATCAAACTCAATTTTTTTAACAGTGGAAATATGATGTTAAATTTTTTTATCAAAAAAAGAATGATGCTCATGCGAATTCCAGTAGCACCCAACACGCGAAGGCTCGAAATAAACGTTGGCAAAAACAATAAAAGGATTCTATTCAAAACAACATAAAATAAAATACAACTTAATCAGTCAAAACACGAGGAAAAAATAACAACGCCCAAAACGAAACCCTCTGGAAAATGGGTGCAGGGAAACTAATAACCTAATAAAATTCATTTATTAAGGCTTAAAACTCTAATTAGTAAAGATTTTTCTTCAAGTAAGGCATTTGAAAAGATTATGGAAAATACGAAACATTTTTTTTGAATAAATCGTAAAGAAATTTATTTTTTAATAAAGTAAAAATATAAATATAATCCTGAATAAATTACTTTTATTCGGTTTTTTAAAAGTTATGTTTTAAAAATGATCCTTAATAAATCACTTTTATTCGGTTTTAAAAAGTTGTTTTAAAAATTATCCTTAATAAATTACTTTCATTCGGTTTTAAAATGTTATGTTTTAAAAATTATCATAATAAATTTCTTTTAAGTTTTAAAAAATTAACTTAATAAATTACTTTTATTCGGTTTTAAAATGTTATGTTTTAAAAATGATCCTTAATAAATTTCTTTTATTCAGTTTTAAAAAATTATGTTTTAAAAATAATCCTTAATAAATTACTTTTATTCGGTTTTAAAAAGTTGTGTTTTAAAAATGATCCTTAATAAATTACTTTTATTCGGTTTTAAAAAATTATGTTTTAAAAATAATCCTGAATAAATTACTTTTATTCGGTTTTTAAATGCTATGTTTTAAAAGTTACATTCATTTGTTTTTTCTTAAATATATCACCCCCTTCCCCTATATTGAAGAAGTATATGAAAGCAGATTGAGAGAAAATGCCTAGAGATTTGAGTTAAATTTTGAAATATTCAAAAACAATTTGTATAATACCAATAAAAAAACATTTTTCTGAAAAGTTTTTCTTACATTTTGTGAGTTTTATTAATTTCTTTTATATACAAATGTTTTAGAATGTCAATTTACTTTATTAAAAAGTAAATTACATTGAGATTTATTTTATTAAAAATAATTAAAAACAATTTTTATAGACTTTATTAAAAATAAAAATAATTAAAAACAAAAAAAATTATACTTTATTAAAAATGATTAAAAACAAAAAAAATCATTTTGTTTTGCCTTTTCCGAATTTCTTTATTAAAAAATAATTAAAAACAAGTGTTTTATTGAATTATTTTTATATGTCAATTTATTTTATTAAAAATTAAATTTCTTTAAGATTTACTTTATTAAAACTAATTAAAAACAAGTGTTTTATTGAACTATTTTTATATGTCAATTTACTTTATTAAAAAATAAATTACATTGAGATTTACTTCATTAAAAATAAAGTTGGCTGTGTTGAGTTGTCCTGCACACATTTTGAGGAGGGTTTTGTTTTTGGAGTTTTTATTTTAAGTTGTATTTTATATTTTGTTGTTTTGATTAGGAAGGTTTATGAGTCGTCACATCTTGAACGCGGCGGGAATTCGTGTATGCCTTTTCTGTTTTTTTTTTTTTTAAATCTTTCAACACCTCATTTCCACTATTAAATAAGTTGAGGTTGATAGTAGGAGAGAAATGTTTAATATACAGGGCCTTTGTAAGAGTGAGATACTTCCGGTAAGGTGATTTATATAGAATTTTAATGGTTTCGACTAGAATTTTTCTTAAGGCTTTTTGTAAATTGTGGTTTGATAGAGTTTGTTTTTATACCACTTTGATCTGAATAGTGACATGTGAAGCGTCTACTCAAGAAGGTAATAGTATGCCATTTATATAAATGATAGAAATCATTAGGAGGATTTGAGATAATTATAACTGAGTAATTCATCGAGTCTAGAAGAAACCTCAACAATGAAGAAAGCACTGGACGGCCGTTTCGTCCTCTATCTGGGACTCTTCGAGAATTGAAACCCGGACAGTTACGATATCAAGCAAACGTCATACCAACTGTACCAACGGGCCTTTGAGAGGTAGCGAATTAGACTCGATATAGCGCCGCTCGATCACATATTCCGTGGTGGAACTCATCCATGTTTCTCTTACCCATAGGACTGTGCCTCCAAGAGCCACGACTACTATCCTCAAGCCGCTCCATCCAGAACTTTAATACATATATATATATATATATATATATATATATGTATATATATATATATATTAAACAACGACCTGTACACTTATTTTTATATCTGCGTCGATGTTTATATAGGGGTTCAACACAATTTTCTATGATCAACACTTCCTATTTTTGTCTCGAATTCTATAGTTAACGATTTCTTTTATCTACCGACAGTTGCCTCTCTCCCCAAATAGATTTATGGTCGTACAAATGCTATAAATGAGCGCAGATTTCAAAAGCATTTTGCTTCGCCAGAAAACTGTGTTCTTTCCGTCCATGTTATTGTTCCCGTTCATCAATCAAGGCAACCCAACTCGCATCCTGAGGTGCTCAGTGATCCAATCGCTGACGTACGTGTTTGACTTTTCCCTTGATTAAGACAAAGCGGCACAAAACGGAAGAGACACTGCGTCTCGAAAGCGACACTGCGACTATTACTGACCCCGGCACTTCCGGTCAGCGCTCCACCTTGACCTGCCAATCGATGAGAATTCTTAGCCTGATCGAAATCTTTTCTGTCACCACCTGATTGCAGAAAGAAAAACGATTGGTGTTTATCAGAGTTCTTTTCTACGCTGCAGCGATCTTTGGCTGTTTTGCTTGACTATGATCCGGAAAGTAAGGTTGCTATTTCTGGGCAAGACGGAACCTTAACCACCGGAAGTGAGGCTATGCGCACGATTAAAAGGGCAGTTATATAAAGCGTATTTACATAAACCCGTGTACACTGGTATGCACACGCAACTTAATTCCATATTCATTACATATATATATGTGTGTGTTTATGTGTGTGTGAGTGCGCTTCTGTTTGTGCATATATGTAAATATTTTTGTGTTCGTGTGGTTTGTGTGCATGTGTGTATCTGTCAAATATATATATATATATATATATATATATATATATATATATATATATATATATATGACGTTTGGCTGATAACGTAACTGTCAGGTTTCAATCTGTGTTTATGAGCGTTCTTTTCTACACTGCTGTAGGACGAATATAGGTCGAAACGGCCGTCCAGTGCTTTCTGCATTCGGTTGAGGTTTCTTCAAGACTCGATGAATTACTTAATTATCTCAAATCCTCCTTAATTTTTTTAATTTTTTATCATATATATATATATATATATATATATATATATATATATATATATATATGTCAATATATATATATAATAAATGTCATTAAATTACATTTGATAAATACACTCTTGGACACAAACACACAGACACAAAACAGATATTCACATATGTCGTAATTTAATGACATATTTATTATATAGCTATGCGTATATGTACACAAACACAAGTGGATTCACACATATATCAATATAAGAAAAATAATAAGAACTCCCATCGAGTT